GAATAACCGGTTTGAAAGGTCAGCTAACCTTCATGGATATGTGAGAAGACGTGATATTTGGGTTTAATCCGTTTAGTAACCGAATTCAACAACTCTACGCAACCCATTCGTTGGCCGTCACACATCATATCACCGTGACCTTAATTGGATATATTAGAAAAAGATCTCCGCCTGTAATCCGAAATAAACGAGAAGATGACTGTCAATTCAGTTTAATGTCTACCTGCTACTACATAATTCCTTTTCTTTGTAGGTTAATGGTGTTACCGAGGTGATTTTAGAAAGGTCAAGGAACTTCGGGGAGTGTAAAGCAAAACAATAGAACTGGGCATTAACCGAACACGCACGTCATCTTGCCTGGGAGTTCCAAGATCGAGCTCAACAAGGCTACATACGAAGTTGAGACATATATCAATCGTCATACCTGCCATGGGTCCCCACCCATATGCGTGGTGGGAAGAAGGAAAAAGATCTTCTTAGCGGCGAGCCTGATGGGATAGTGGCATTAGACGGCACGAGCTTACAAAAAGGGACCCAATCTCAAATTCAATTTTGCCGAGACCGAAAGTACATCGCTTTTCTGGCATTTTACGCGTCGGTTCGTGATTGTAGTTCTGAATGGATGAGAAGTGCGCGGCGCATCCTCAGAAGAATTAACGCCTTCACCCTATGCTTTTTAAGCGGCTTTTCCCGAGTACTTTTTATTATGGTATTGGGGCTAGGCGAAAGAATACTGCTAGACCACTATAATTTGACCCCTCATTAAGAAGGCTTGACTTACCGAGAGGGGGTGTATGAGTAAGGAGGACGTCAACTCCGGCTGGAATGTTGTTCCACTTGTCAAGTAGGGGTTGTCCTCTCGACAAGTTGAAAGCCCAGTTGTCAACACGTGGTTGCCTACAAATGCACTTTGTTTCAAAGAACGGAGATGAATAGCTAAGGAGGGTATACTGTAGGATTCCGCCTATGGCATATCTCCGTAGTAACAACAAAATTTCATTGAAAACATAAAAGCAATAGTTCTTCTACTACCCCATGAGGGGTAAACAGGATATAACAACTCATTTGTTTATTTTAATTGTTTATTTATTCAGTTATTTGTTGCTTGTTTATTCATGAATTAGTAAATTACAGAGGAAGGCTTTGGTACCAAGGGACGAAAACTACATTATGCGTGAATTGGGGGACCCCAGTGGAACTGTGCGGTGCCTGTGATACATATTTGTAGTAAGTGGGATTGAATCCTTCCCGAGGCTGGATTCTTATCTCCCAACCGGGCTAATATCATCTAATTCCTTTTCGAAAACATTTTTGTGATTTGCTTCGAACTTTTCCCTCGTAAAACAGTGAGAGAGGTACATTCATAGACTTTGTCCTCCCGTTGTGGCGGCTCTCGTGGCGATGAATTGGGCTGTTATTTCCTGACGACTGCTCTATTAGCAGGTAAGTAAACTTGGCAATGAACCCTTCACTGAGTTGCACTATTTCGATTTATATTGGATCATAAATACAGGATTACCGACGGGGGCTTGTTTAATAGTTGATTGAACTAAGCAGTTGGTAGGCCGAATAATTGATAGCCGTGGATATAGGGCAATTTATTCAGCCATGCAAAGAAAACTGCTGTTGAAAACCTACACTTCTCAACTACGGTGCACTGAGAATAGATAAAAAGTCAGATTAATGTCTTCAGAGAGAAATATGCAAGAGCTAAAGGTAAAAACACGCCGGAATCTCAGGAAAAAACAGCGTCTTCCGACAAGAAAAGCCGTGCTGCTGGTTGAGAGCACCAAATTCTTGAAGAAGGCCAAATATGGCAACTTCTGCAATTAAGTCGTCAGTGGGTAGAAAGTTTTGGGTAGTGGGAGAGAAAATTTCTATAGACTCTAAGCTTTGAGCCTTTCCCAGAGCAAGAACTTTGGTATTCCCCCTGCACACTGGGAGCGAAAAAATATTGTCGGATTCTCCATGTATGTCATGTCGTTGTTGTTTGACTATTGTTTCAGCATATTTTGTTGAAGTTTATATAAGCTCTGAAGCTAACGAAGATGATGTCAGATCAGACTCACCATGGTGTACCATAAATCGTTATTCCGAACAATTCTATCACTGAATCCTCGAGGTAGATACAATTTGTGAGAAGGGTTTTCGAATTAACAACTTTGGATGATGCCATAGATGCTTGTAAAGCTTGCTTCAATGCCATCTCCTTAGCCTGAAGCTCCCGATCTGAAAAGA